TGGCTGCACTTCCTCCAGGACAGATCTGTTAGTTCTGTTAGTTTGGAGTACAGAAGGGCCTAATTAGGAGTCATAGGAATAGAGGTAGCAGAAGCCAGGAGAGTGTGGAACTTATGCAAGGAAAATGGACAGAGGAAGAGAAGAGGGCTGGGAATCACCACCAACATGTAAGAAATTTTTTTTTCACAGTTCTGCTCGGATATTTTATTTGTGTTTGTCTTTTTCGTTTTTTGGTAGAGGGAAGAGGGCAGGTTGGAAGGGAGACAAAAACAAAATCAAAGAGAAGGAAAAAAAATGACACTTCCCACTCACAACCACCCTTGGCCCCAGGCCTGAGTCAATGAGGGTGAGGATGAGCACACACACAGCGGGAGGACAGCAATAACTTAGGGTGGGGAGGGGCATCAGGAGAACACAAAGTTTAACTTCCAGACTCCACAGTGGAGGAGGCAGCCTGTCTAGAGGTCTAAGGCCTTGGGAGCATACTAAAGGGGTGGGAGAGAGGAAGATTTGGTTCCGTAGAAACTTCACTGAGTAGAGGGAGATAAAGTGCTCAGTGCTCTAGGTCTGGGCTGGAGTTGGTCACCTACAGGGAGGAAGGGCCTGGGACGGATGGGTTTGGGACCTCCACCCAGCTAGAGTCCCTGCTGGTATTGGCTGCGTGGTAGTAGTCGGGGGATACAGCTGGGCCGTTCACCCCAAAGCAAGCCCCAGTTGGCCAGTATATGGATAGCCCAGGGGGGGCAGTGGGAGGCTAATCCCTGGCTGGCCTGTGCCAGGTGCCAGTTCCAGGCCTTGCATAGGGCCCAAAACTTGGCCAGCAGGGGTAGTGGGCTTTGGACACAGCGAGGACGACCCTGCTGGGGCCCAAGTACAGGGAGATGGCTGTGGAAGCCATCCTTGTTGGTCTTAGGGTAGAGTGCAAACAGGCCCCAGTCCCCCACAGCCTCACAACCCTGGAAGGCCTGGAAGGCCATGGGCATCAGGCACAACGGAGCCCACAACCAGAGTTGAGAGATGCCCCTGTGCATCCTGGGACCCTACTGCCACACCCACTTGCCCCCAGCTGCCATAGCTGCCAGTGGTAGAGCCAGGCCTGGCCAAGCTAGAAGCCAGGCAGCCCCAAGGCCCAGAGGCACCCCTATAAGGCCCCAGCACCAGCTCAGGCCCAGGACAGCCCCCGGTGCAATACCCTGGGCCAGGAGTAGGAACAGACTGGGAGGCAGGTGCAGAGCTGTACAAAGCAGAAGGTAGGAGGCCCCCAGGCCTACCAGCCCCACCTCAAGGGCCAGCAGTGCCGTCTGCAGGCCACCCCCACCCTGGGCTGCCAGCAGTGGGAGCAGCAACAGCAGCAGAGGCAAAAGGCCTGAGGAGGACCCCACTGCAAAGGAGAGGCCAGACAGGAGGCCATGGGACAGGAAGCCAGGAAGTTGGCTGGCAGGGCTGGGTGTCAAATATGTTGGAGGGGGCTCAGGGGGAATGTCTGGGGAGGGACAGCCATCCCCAGGGCCCCTAGGGGTTCCAATTGGTTGGAATTTTTAAGGCCACTGACCTGAATTGTTCTTTATTTTTTGCTTCCCAGCAATCTCAAAGAAAGATGTTCATGGGAACTCTTTCTGCAGTGCAGTGGGGTCAACCATACAACTTACTGCCATGGAGTCATTCCGACTCATAGCAACCCTATAGGATAGAGTAGAACTGCCCCACAGGGCAAAGATATAAATCTTTATACAAAAGCAGACTGCCTCAGCTTTCTCCTGCAGATGTGAAGAGTAAGGAAAAGGGAGATGGTAGGTCAAGACAGCCTTTTGCAAAGCTTGAAATGGAAAGAAGCAGTAGAAAAATGGTAGGTCAGCCTCTTTTGAGTATGTTTGTGGGCTGAAGGGAAGGAGGGAGAAGTTGAAGATCAGGAGAGAGGAGAGACCCAGGAAAGAGATAGAGAGTGCAGATGCATGGAATTCACTTTCAGCCGGGGAAGACTGTTTCTTCCTTTGCGATTGGAGGGGAAGAGGTAAGGAAGGGTGCAAATAGAGAACACGTGTGATTATAGGGTTGGGAAGCTGAAGGGGTTTGGCCCGGAACGCTTTGTTTCTCTAACGTATACAAGTCAGGGCTATTTATGGACAAGAGAAGGCTCTGAAATGAGAGGGATGGCACTCTGGTGGCACAGTGAGTAAGGAATTTAACTGCTAACCAAAGGTCAGTGGTTCAAACCCACCAGCCATTCCATGGGAGGATGATGAAGCAATCTACTTTGATGAAGATTTACAACCTTTCAGCCTACATGATCCTGACACCAGAAGAAATAGATGGTGCCTGGCTACCACTGTCGACCACTTGGAAAGGGATCAGTATAGGAGATCCTAGGTAGATTGGGGGGAGCTCTGGTAGCATAGTGGCTAAGGCACTTGACTGCTAACCAGAAGACTGGCGGTTCAAACCCACCAGCCACTCCTCGGAAGGAAGATGGGACAATCCACTTCCGTAGTGATACTGCCTCGGAAACCCAAGGAGGGGTCACTATGAGTCGGGTCCGACTTGACGGCACACAACAACAACAACAACAGG